ACGCATTTAAGCTACAGTTCGTTTCTAACTGTGTGGGTCCTTACCTAAAGTATGCTAGTATATTATTATGCAAAGTGTAAATGTGCTTATACATGACGATTACTCTAAGTCCAGCCTGCCAACATCTGTTATTAGTTGTGGCGTGTTCAAAATTCTTGCTTCAATGCACCGCTATCCATGATCCACAAATGAAGTCCAAATCAAATGTACCAACAAAAGACAAGTGCAAAAGTAGTCATAAGCATTTATATGCTACCTTAAATAAATTTCATACATGTACCACATTTATACCGACACAGAAGCTTACTAAAGTACAGTAGGATCCGTTTAATAATCAAAATAATAGCGCATATGAATTACAAGAAATTTATACTAAAAGATCAAGAGAAGAAATGGTACGGAATTCCTTAGAATTAAGAAAATATCAACAATTAACTTCTAACTGTTCTCAATTTATCATATAATTAAACAATTAACTAATTGTTCAATTAGTGTTTAATTGGCAACAAATTGATTTAGACAAATTGTTCGCGCTTAATGAATATGAACATTAATTGCACCATTAAGAGAATTTCGGCAATTTAGCTTTGATTCGTTCTCAATTTAACATACAAGTATTACGAGAAAAGTAGCTATTTACATAATCAGTAATTAACTATTCTTAACTTACACGATATTTAAAAAATAGCCCAATAGTTATATAATTAATAAATTACCAAATTAATTGAGTGCATTTAAAACTTAATTCAGTAGAGATTTTTAATTAAGCTTCGTCAAATCGCTTTGACGTCAATTTTGCCCCATTCGACAAAAGGGTAAAAGGATTACAATCACATTTGATATCTTATTAACCTTTTTTAAAAGTCGTGGACTCACTTAGTCCCATTACTATATTTTGCTTCATATCCCAGATATTGGTATTAAAATGAACCCAGTTAACTCAAATTATATATAAGTGATATAAACTCAACAAAAGAGGCTAAATTTAATATATTGGGAATATGAGGAAAAAATCAACCAGTGAAAGGGAAATCATAAAAATCGTATGCTTATTAGGCTTAGTTCACGCTCTAGACCAATTTCATCCATTTCTTTTATTTCATTTATTGGTCAACATAACCGGATCAAGGTCTGCTAGAAAATCGGAAATAACTATATAAGATGTATTCCGTGCAATTTTATGAAGAGGTAACACAAACTATGTGGCATAAAGTCTGCTAGAATAACGAAAATTATTATACATATGTACGTAGTATATTGTAGCGGGGGTAATTCGAGAACGGATTTCACACATTTTCGACTTTAAACTATAGTGTATCCAATATTATACATACATTAATTTCTGCTAAGATATCTTACAAATTGACTGATATATAGGTATAAAGGAAACCGGTAGTTTTTCCATATAAGGTATAGGGGGCTTGGGAAAGTATGGACCCGATTTTATCGATTTTCGACAGAAGACTATAGTATTATCAGAAAAAGATTCCCTCTGAAGTTCAATAATATATCTCACACACTGACCGATATCTTCGGTATATGGGGGGACAATTTTTGGACTTGAGATGGCATACCTCAGAGACATTATTTTTGTTTTATACCGATACATTCATTGGCGCTTGATTTGTATAATAAACAGTGAAAGAATCAGATGGAATTTTACATTGTGTTATATGTAAGTAGGCGTGATTGTTGCTCTATTTCGCTAATTTTCACACCGTTATACAGGAATGTCAGGTTACTTAACGAATTTGGTTGAAATTGGTCGGGAAGGTCCTGAGATCTCAGTTTTCATCTAAAGATGGGCAGTGCTACGCCCATTGTCCAATTATATAGTTTAAAGCCCGTTTGTATCATCTCCGGCGCCAAACTTAATTTTAATGTCTCCGACGCATTTTTTTTATTGAGTTATCGCACTTTTAGTGGTTTCCGACATAACCAGTATATGAGTTATAGTGGGTCCGATTTCACCCATTTTGACACTGTCGAAAACGTTGCCGAAAAGAATTGTAATTGGTTTTGCTAAAGTGGTATGTTTTTAATGTGATTCGTTGTATCAAAAACAATTAATCCTTATTGGGGGGTTTAGTTATAAAACTTTATAGGTTTTTGATTCATGGCGTTTTGTGGGAGTGGCAATAGTTTGGTTTGCCGAATAAAAACTTTTTTTAAACCGGTGTTTGGGTTTAAACTATTTTTTTGAAATCCGGTATGTGGGGTTAAACATTGTTTTTTATTAATCTCGTATTTGGGATTACAAAATAAAAATGCTAATTCAATAATCTTTTTATGTAAAATTTGCAACCCTGCTCTGTAGCAACATGTTGCGAGCGTATAAAAATAATATTAATGTATTGTAAATCGCACAATTAAAGATATTTCAACAAATTTAACTCCTAATAGTTCTCATATTAACATACAATGATAAAACTAAACAAAAACTCGAATCAATTTTATATTTTATTTTCTTCAACTAAACGACCTGTTTCTACATGAAATAAAGCATAAGCTTCTTTAATTGAACAATACATTTAATTATTTTTATGTAGAAATTTCGATTAATTGTAATAAAATTCTCTAATTATTTTCTAATATAAGAACGGGGCCCACTGTAGGTATCCATGTGTATATGTGTACTCGTATTTAGCAAAGCAATGTAATTAGATACTTATGGTTCTTAACAATAACATGTGCATATTAAAAGACAATTTAATTATTGTTAATGTTGCAAGAAAAATGAATGAAATAAAACTGAGTAAACACTGAAAAGGGCGGTCTAAATGCAGTGAAAAACCGGTGCTTAGCAGCAATTAAGACACAATATGTATAATGAACCACTCTGCAGACACATTTCTAATCACACATGGATACACACTTAACGCCTAGGAACGGCTGCTATATATTATAGTCGGCCAGTATAAAGTTGTCGTTAAATTCGTCTGAGACTCCCTCTTTTTGAATTTTTATAGTTCGATGATGTATTTTGCATCTACATATAATATATGTGGCATTGCAGCTCATATCTCAAAGTTTGACATGGAGATATGAATGAAATATTGAAACGATCAGACGTAATTAATGAGATATATGTGCTTGCAAAGCAGCAATAACGCGTGTTTTCAAAAAGTTCATTTTAAATAATGTTAAAGAAGGGGCCGATAAATCTGATATGCTGCCAGAGTCACGATCCTGTTGATTGTAGATCTGTAGTTAGTTGCTTGTTATAGGAGTTAATAGTGCAAATTATTATTAAAGTTCATATATATAATTTGTTTGGGTATGGATATCATCGCGAAAGAGTAAAATGAAGATCAAATATACGGTATAAAAACGGCTGTATCTTTCTGGAAGCCAAAGTAAACTAGAACCTAACCTTTCGTTGATCTATGTAGCTTCCAATGCACTTATCATAAAAGAAAGTCTTAAAGACACCAATTACCCAGCAAGAGTTAATTTCTTGTCACACCGTCAATATTTGTTGAACACCCCACTTGCATAACATGCGCGAATTGGTGATCTGAAGTTGCAACGCAGACATTGTCTACGCGTTCACTACCTGTCTGCTCGGCCATTACAGCTGAATCGGCCGACTGACTGGCTTCCTGGCTAGTTGAATGATCGCCGGAATGTTTGAACCCTAAAATGCTGCGCAGACAATAAATTGAACACTACAGTGTTTATGTAATTTAATCACGCTCACAATTTTTTACGCCAACTTCCACATACCTTTGGACGTTTGCAAGCATAACGATGATAAAAATAATTCAAGACTGCAAATATTACGAAAAAGAATTAAAATTGCTGGTGTTGGGGTGTTAAGATTAACGAATTTGCTTTTAAAGTGATATATTTTTATAACAAACGTAAGTACATATTAATTAATGAAGTCTTCACTAAGGGCCAAGCCAATGGGCTTTAAGTATTTACTTTGGGAGTAAGCGTGTGTGCGCGCAGAAATATAAATCCAATTAAGGCACGTGCGGCAGGCCTAACGATCAAATTATTCGACTCTATTTAGATACAATTAAAAAAAAGAGATAGTTTAATGGTTTAATTCTTATATATGTGTATGTATGTGATGCAGGGAGAGTTCTGGGCAAAAGTTCAGGTTTTTTATTACCAAATGGCACTTTCGTGCGCCTCGAAGCGAGAAAATTTTAATGGATATGAATGCCTAATGTCTGCCTTCATAAATATGGTAGTTTATGTATTAGAATAAATAATATTTTTAATGAATTTGAAACATAGCAAATCCATAACAATTGCAAACTACTCGTGGGTACTGGTGACCGATAGTACTTGCAAGGATTTAAAATTTTATCAATGAGTTCGTAGTACAACACTGACTAATACCTTATTACATTACTTAAATGAAGGGTCTTCGCTTTAAAGTCCAAAACTTTATTAATAGAATCATAAATTGGAAGAAAAGTTCGTCACAAAATCGTATAAAGCCAAATCACCATTTAGTTGAATAGGGATCTGTAGCTCGAAATACCACATAAAGTCAAAGTCTTCTTCACTTTATCTTTTCAAGATTAATATTATATTTAATTATATTTAATTTCTAGTATAGCGAAACGTGTTGAAATACCAGGGAAATATTGCAAAGCCTTACTGACTAAAGCTGAGTTAGTAACGAATTTCTTACACTGATCGCCCATTATTTCTTCAAAGAACACAACAATTTATTAACGCTGCAAGACATACATTTTTTTTATGAAACTTCACACTTTGGATACCGATTTCGGAATCAACATTATCTAAGTACTTAAAGGTATTTAAAACATATGTACAAGTATAATTATATACTTGAGAACAAAATTTAGTCAACCTAAAATAGCTTTGGATGTGATTCTTTTTATTCTTCTGCCACTTTTTTCCAATACAAACGATTCGCTATTGTATATATAATATGAGTTTTTAACACTTATGCTCGACTACATATAACGCTAAAAATATTTTCATTGCATTTTTTAAATATTTCTTAATCAACTTACCGCATAATTTTTCTTTTATTGTTCGGATGTATGCGATTTGCCGAGTCCGGATCGATCTTCCTTAAATGGTTATGCAACAACTCAGATGACATTGCTGACATTTCAGACTGAGGTACATATAAAGGCTAAAAGCATAAGATATAAATAAGTAATGATACCGAAAATAAGGCAAAATAAGAAAATGAAATTAAATATTTTAACGCACAGTGTTTGGAAGACGCATTACAGGCGTTTGAATGATTTCTTTCGATACAAAAATTTGCTCAAATAATACTTACATTCTTCACAGAACCAACATCAGCCTCTTCTTTGCTTGTAGTCCCAACTGAGGTAGATATGTCAAACTGATTGTCTATACCATCCAACTCGGTGGGATCCTTCGGGCTAACAAGTATATCCCAGAGTAACGATTCGATGTAGTAGTTGGTGCCGCCGACTATAATAGGACACTTGTTTTGTGCTAAAAGATTTTCGATCTAGATATATTTAACAGTTAAGGATGATTTTGACTTGCAAAACCGTTGACTACCATGAATTATTCGGCAAATATATAATCTAGAAGCCTCTTAGAAATAACCAACAGCATAGATTTCCAAAGCATTAAAATTTTAAAGCAGCCAACGGTGTTATCTCGGCGATCCCATTCATACTGTAAATATTTATGTGGAGACGATTTAGAAATCTTTGCGTGAGGAACGATAATAAGAGACTTCAAATGATGACTTATCAGCATTAAGTGCATAGAGCCAATATTCTCCCAGTTTATCGTATAAAAAATTGTCGCTATTATGCATACCTATTCCGGAAATCTTTTAAATGCATTGGTAACACACGATGCGACTACAAAAATTAGAAACGGTGAAAGTACAATATATGTATGTAGTGGGCTTTATGACGAAATCCAGGAAGCCAAGCTAGAAAAGTCATATAGTCACGGTTCGAACTGAGAAGTCGAGGATATTATAACTCACTTGGCCGTTTTACGGCTTCCTCCTTTGTACTCGTCTTTAAATAGATGATAGATTTCACGGTAATTTTTTTAATTGTACGATCACTACTGCTTGCTACCTCTCAAAAACGGGAATAGAGCCCGCCATCTGCAAGACAGCAGTGAACAGGAGCATAGGAGTTCGATTAAAACACCATAATAATATGTCTTTATGGTAAACTAGTTAATGTTATTCAGTAGCTACTTACAACCTAATTTCATAGCACTTCATCCTTCCGAAATTAGTATTTCGTAAACTACATGGTGAAAAACATCACAAATTTTTCGTTTCAAAGTTCGGTTTTCAAACAAAATTCTCTATAAATATTTTTTTTTTACTATTATAACTAAAATTGTTTTAAACTATTTATTGTTTGTTAGCGAAAGCAAAATATTTCAAAATTAACAGTCATTATAGGAAGCTTACACTAAATTCTCCGCGAGAATAAAATTGTTGGCGGAATCTCGGAGGAGTACTTTTCAATATTGGGTTAGCGGCCGAGTTTTACGCAACTGAAACAAAACCGTGCCGTTATACCGTCGCGTACACAGAGGTCAATAGTCTAGCAACGGATCAGCGAAGACGATAAACGGCAGGATGGCCGGGCTTTCCATGGTATTCAATGGCCTTTTGGTAGGTGCCTCAGGATTTGCTTTGGCCTCAATACAGCCGGCCGAACATCCCTATGCCTTCTCCGCTTGTGCCTTTGGACTCTGCCATGGCCTGTTGGGCATCATACATGCCTACAAGCAGGGCGACGAGAGTGATAGTTGTAATAAGATACGTCAGATATCTGACAGTGTTATGGAGATCGTGCATTTGCCACTTATAAATATTGAACTATATTTGGCATCATCGGAAACAAGCGCTTTGGCATTGGGCCATGGACTATTCGTTATACCACTCGCTTTTGATTTAATTGCAAAACTCTTCACAGAGGAAGGCGATGATAGCAACACAAATACGCTGAAAGATTTAACGATTTTGGGCAATATCATGTCGCTGACATTCTTGGCTGTCAATGAGAGCAACTACGTATATGTGAGCATGGCTCTTACGGCCTTCTTGACCAAATATGGTGCCATACTGTTGGACAGCTACTGGGAGGGCTCACTCGAGAACACTGTACTTACCGGTTATGCAGTGTTTACATTCCTCGCCAATTACGCAATCACTGGAAAGCCAGAGTGGATGAAGCAATGAGCTGGATCTGAACACTGAATGAATGTTGTAGCGGAAAAATGCATGTAAACAGACCATTTCATGAGATAATTATTAATAATTTGCGGAAAATACATAAATCTAATTTCGAAATGGACATTTTGAGTTTTATAAAGTGGTAAAGAAGTCTGGACGATCATTTGTAGATGCTACAAGTTCAGTGCTGTTTCGAAGCACAGATGTATTCTTGTAGGAATATTTCAAGATTGTTATTAGGAAAAGCTTTCGAGTTTTTTAGATGACCATAGTAATTTCAGTTATTATAATCACATAGAATCCGCTATCTTGTGCTAATAATTTTCCGTTTTCGAAGATTTTATTGAATTTCATGAAAAAATATTTGTAATTTTTGCCCCCGGAATTTTACAAGTGGCAAAGGTTGCGGTTACGAGTGTAAATTCATGTAATTATTCTTAAAAGTAAAATGATACATATTCAGTAAGCTAAAGAGATGGCATAAACCTAAAGAAAGCCTTCCTTACCTCAGCTGCATTTCCTTTATTCGTTTTCGAAGCTTTATTTCAGGACCATTTAAGGTAACATATATTCTGAAATCATTTCACATTTACGCTTTAACTAACACACGAGGATATCAAAGAAGATAATTTACTAGGGGTTTATAATAAAGAAAACACGATAATGTGTGGTCAGGAATAAACCAAATTAAAACATTGAAGAAGGTGGACTGGCCTATGGATTATTCAGTTGATGAAGTGGAAACTATAAATATAGGGATTCTCTACTTCCTTCGATCACCAGGCCTAGAAATTAGATCATACAAACGTATTTAATTTTCGTTACAGAATCGCTAATGATCGTATTTTGTTATCTCAAGAAACTGGTTACATACATACCTAGGTCTATTCTGATGTCAACGCTACACTAGAGTGCATCATGTTTGGATAAACTTTAACGCAACTAATTTTAAGGAACTTTCCGGCAGTATCTGGGTGAAATAAAAGCTATCCTGCCACGAAAGTATAAACAGTGGAAACTTTTTAGATGCAGTGAGGAAGGCACCAGCTTACAAACTTCGATCTCTTTCAACTTGGTAGATCAAGCGAAGGATCTACAGAAATCAGTGATTTTTCTGAAAAAAAAGGGACCGACTCAGCATCACATATAAAGTATTCCTGCTTTTAACTAATGCTTGTGCAAAAATAATGCAATAATATATATTATATCATATAATATTCCAGTATTTTTTTGGTAAGTCAACTAAAATTCACCATTTTTTAGTTTTGTCGATTTCTGGTGTTATTAATAGAGTAGTACCCTGAGTTTACAGATGGTCCGAATTACAATGATCAATCTAGCTTCATCCAAATACATAATATTTTTTAAATCTCCGTTTAATTGTCGCCTTTAGTTGCTACTGAACATATAAAGCTCTAAACGACTGGGTTCCGAGCCACACTAGATGTCAGTTCATGATGTCGGGGACAGACATGAACAACAACAACGCCTAGATCTCGAAAATTGGCCTTGGAAAGGATAAGTTAACGATTTGGAAAGGAATGCTTATGTATACGAAACCGATTTATTTGTGTCATAGGCAAGTATTTTAAGAGGCAGTTGTAAGAAGTTAGACCACCTTCGTTCAAAAGTAGATAATAAAATATTAACATTCAAGTTATGCATTTGTTTATAGACATTGCTTTATCGGTCAAGAGTAAGTAAGTAATATTTTGCAATGTTTGTACATAAACAAATAAATGCGAATTAATTTTTCATATTTTCAATTTTTATACCCTGAACAGAATATATGCTATTAAGTTTGCACGAAGTTTGTAACAGCCCGAAGGAAACGTTGGCGACTCTATAATATATATGTATGTATGTATATGTTATATAAATGATCAGCGTGACAAGCTGAGTCGATCTTATCATGTCCGTCTGCCTGTATATACGTAAACTAATCTTCCGATTTATAAGATATAGATCTGAAACTTTGCACACGTCCTTTCCACTCCAATAAGCTGCTCATTTTTCGGAATCAAAACTATCGCACCATACAAACTGAACGATCAGAATCAAGAAAACTATTTTGTTATACCCTTTTATGCTATGTGAAATGTACCTGTGAAGGGTATTCTAGCTTCGGTGCAACCAAAGTTAACGTTTTTACTTCTTTTTATATTTTTTGGTTATTTGTTTTCAGATAGTGTTAAAATATGATTTTCGCATGTTTTGTGTGTTTCCTTTCGCGTCTGTTTGCAATGACGTTGCTGCTGTTAAGCGTTTAAGCAGCGTAATGCAAGCAAAAACAAGGAACAAACAAAGCGAAAACCGACAGCCACAACAACAATGGCTGCTACAAAATGAAAACATTAATAAATGTTTGCTCTGCGCCTGCAACACATACACATGCACACACATACATACGTACTCAAACAAAAATATTGCATGTATTTGTGTGTGTGTAGTTATATGATGCATACCAATAACACTTTAGTGTTTGGTAGCATGACTAGCCGATCGGCGTATGTTCTACAAGTATTTGCAGCTGCGAAAAAAATAATGGCAGCACAGACACAGCGACGCGGTTGAAGTACGAAGTGCCTTATTACCAATAATGTTGAAACGGCCCCTAAATCAGTTTTTTTTTGTTGTTTACTAATTAAACCAACCTCAACCCGTCGGAGTTTGATTGAGATATAGGAATTGGGTGAGTTTAATAATTGATTGCTTATAGCCCAAGGATTGGTCGTTCGTTGATTTGGTAGAGAAATTTACATGTGTTATCCATCATTATAATATTAAGGTTATAACGAAGATCTTTTCTGAAGGAAATGAAGACTTACAAACGCTAGGCTTATAATAACTCAGACAGAGTATTATGGGTGGCGTTAAGAATATATGTAGCGGCATTAGAAAGACCTTGCATAACCTGCTGTATGGCGATCGTATTTGGGGCTCAGACCCAAGCCCATCGAGTGCTCATCTCTAAGATATTATTAATATAATATTATTTAAGTATAATAGAACGTAAACCACTCAGTACCACCTAAATGCGAACGGAGTTCTAGACACCCCCATACGATATCGGATCAAGACATTCTTCGGTTTAGTTTGATTTATGCTTGTTGGCGATTTGCTGTAGAGATGAAAAGTGCATATGCAAGGTAAAGGCATTTTTGACAGTTCAATGGGGAGAGCGGCTGACTGCGGAGAGGCATTTACTAGTTAGATGCAAGTCGTGCATGCTGTTATGTCAATATGAGAGCTTCTTCAACATTGGCGTGATCCCATAACTAACAAATAAA